AGAAGTATGGCAATAGGCCAGTGCCGGGGCGTTGAAGATACAGCAATCTCTGAGACTCGATGGACAAAATACTTCCTTCTGTGTTGTAAATATCTACGATTCTGTTAAGCTTTGTTTCCTGGGCTGGAGATTGATAGTGTAGATGTCTACTGGTTAGTTGGGGCCACTGTCTAATGACTCGACTGAGGTTGTAATAATAATAATCATTGCATTTGATATAGTGCCTTGACACGTTTTCGAGACGTCTCAAAGCGCTTCCCAGAATACACTGTAAGGTGAATTAACTGTCTATTTTGTGTGCAAAACACGGCAGCCAATTGCGCACAGCAGTGTCCCACAAACAGTCGTGCATTGAAGTGACCAATTTTTAAATTTTTTTCGAAGGAATTATTACCCCCGGGGAAAGCGATCCAACAATCGACTAAGACCAGGTTCCTACTTACTGCTCGGTAAACAGAGACGTGTGGAGTAAGGAAACTGGGAATTGAATCCAGGTCCTCCCGCTTGCGAGGCAAGTGCTCTAACTACTGAGTTACAGGACTCCACTGCTCAGTTGCTCAAACTGTTTAGCAGCTTAAACTCCAGCGGTACTCCAACGCACACTCTGAGTCCCCCAAGCCTTGGCTCTTGCCATCTTGCGGCTAACACTCTCTGGAATTATGTAAGTAGGATGCGTCCTTTCAGGGAGAGGGAGCGCATTCCAGTCTAATACACAGGAATGTCCATGTGTTGATGGGATGCACAAAACGTTTGGTTTGGATACTTTTAAGCCCAGCGGTGGTTTTCCGCAGGTGTCAAGACACCCGGCTGACTAAAAAGCAAACTAGGGAGAACGGGTGCGGAGTGAGAGTGAAGGTGAGAGAAATACAATAAGAGGTTAAAACGAAGCAACAATGGAGTTAATGGTCGTGTCTAGTAATGGGCACAAGATTGCTGTATCAGAGGTTACCCAGGTCTCCTCACAACTCCAAGTAAGGGAAACTTTTAGACAGATCAATTAGACGGAGACTTGGCTAGATCACATTCCGCCCTGAGAGATGACAGCTATTCCCTAACCTGGGCAAGCAGCCATGTAATAATCCAGGCTAAAGTCTTCCAATTTCATACACAGAGCCCCTTTCACAGCGAAACAATAATAATAATAATAATAATCCTCGCATTTGATACAGGACCTTATCCCTTCACTGAAGCGTCTCAAAGTACTTCACAGAATATACTGTAAAGTGGGTTGACTGTGTATTTTGTGGGCGAAACGCGGCAGCCGATTACACACAGCAGCGTCCCCACAAACAGTCCAGTAGATTGAGTGACAACATTTTTTTGGGGGGGGATTACTAACCCCGGAAAGCAATCCGCCGATCGACTAACAACCGGGTTCCTACTTACTGCTAAGCAAACAGAGACGTGTGGATTAAGGAAACGTGCCTAAGCTTCCGCCCCGCCCGGGAATCGAACCCGGGTCCTCTCGCTTGCATTAATTCATGTTATTTAATCGACCATATTCCTCCACATCTTTGAAAAATCTTTTGGAGCGCTTATGTTGGTTTTCCCCGGACCTTCGAGAGAATGGGCAGCGCTACGGTGGTGAGTGAGAGGGTTTGGGGAAAGTCTGTTAGACCTGTTTTTACAGACCAGCTCTGTTGTAACGTGCTTCTCTACAGTGCGAGTTTGCTTATAACACCGTCTCACTGTGGACCTCGCCCGCAACCTCACGCTTCACTTCCAAGCACTGGCTGTTTTTTTTTAATCTACTAAAATGGTCGACTTCCATCACTTCCTGACGTAGCGTTGACCCGGGAGTCAATTTTAGAGCAGAGAGCTCTAAAATCTAAATCTCGCTAAATCCCGGGGTGAGAGATTTTATGGATCCCAAACGTGTAAGGAGGTTCCGCTGCAGTTAAAACAAATTGTCTCCAGGCATTCATTAGACATTATTTGAAAAGAATAATAATATAACAACCCTTGCATTTGTCCTTCTGCTCGGCCCGTCAAAATGTCTCATTGCTGTCACGTGTAGTGACTGGATTTTGATGGTTGAAATATGGTCCACAAACAAACAGTTATGAAGCGAGTGACCAATTTTATCTGGGGTGGGGCGGGGGGGGGGGGGGGGGGGGGATTGTTGGCCAGGACACCGGGAGAGAGAGAGAAACTCCCTTCTCTTTGCAAAACAGAGCCATGGGAATCTTTACAAGTACTTGCATTTACATCTATACTGGTATTACAATGCAGTGCTGGGGAGGGGCGGGTGGGGAGGTGGGGGGTGGGAGTGCTGCATTGTCGGAGGTGCCGTCCTTCGGGTGAGACTTTAAACCGAGTTGACCGTCTGCTTGTTCGGGTGGACGTTAAAGATCCCGCGGCGCTATTCGGAAAGAGAAGGGAGTTTTTCTTTCCCGGTGTCCCTGGCCCACGTCAAATTGGTCACGCACTTTCACGGCTGTTTGTGAGACATTGCTGGGTGCAAAATGGTTGCTGTGCTCACCATAACGCGTGCCCGGTCGCTGCGCTTGACAGCAAAACCCTGTGGAGCGCATTGAGACGTTTCAACACCACATCGAAACGCAAGGGATGTTACTCTTCTTATTATAAGAGTAATAATACTCACGTGCTCTGTGTGAGCTAAGCTCTCTCCCCTTCTGCGAGTTATGCAACTCGTTCCCCATGGATTTGGAAGTGGACCCTAATTTTGACCGTGCAATTTCATTTGACGTTTGCTCTCAAATGTTTACTGGTGAGTTAAAATTGTAGCGGATTTTAAAAAAACAGGTAAGATCTTGGGAACAAAATCCAAACTCGCTGAACAGAGTACGATAGCTTTTAGTCCCAGAGCAGCAAATTCGCTGCAAAGAACAGGACACGGAGCAGAGTTAATCCCCAGAGAGCTTTCACGCAGCCCGAACCCTCTAGGGAGCGAATCTGTTCGCTTTAGCAGGGTCATCGCCTCGAAAGAAAAAAGAGAGGGGAAACTAACTGTCCGTCCGGTTGTGAAAAGGATAGGATCAGAGAGAGCTGCAGCCTTGTGAGGAGGCTGCTATGGCCAGCAGGTCAGTCACTGGTTGATTGCTGAAATCACAGACTTGTGCACAATTTCTTCCCTGATTTGGAAGCAAAAAGAAATCCGCCTCCAAGTTATTATCATTATTGTTAATTGTTTGATATAGCGCTTTTCACGTCGGGAGGACGTCCCAAAGCGCTTCACAGAACACACTGTAAAGTGAATGGACTGTATATTTAATAATAATCCTCACGCTTGATACAGCGCCTTGTCACGTCGTTGAGAGGTCTCAAATCGCTTCACAGAATGTACTGTAAAGTGGATTGACTGTGTGTTGTTTTGGGGTCCCACAAACAGTTGTGGATCGAGCGATCAAATTATTATTCTTTCTTCATTTTATTTGTTGAAGGAATTATCGACCCTCCCCGGAAAGTAGTCCCGCCAATCGACCGACAACCGGGTTCCTTCTTACCGCTCGGAAAAACCAGAGACGTGTGGAGTAAGGAAACTTGCCGAAGTGTTCACCCTACCCCGCCCCGGAAATCGAACCCGAGTCCTCCCCCACCCCCCCTTGCGAGACGAGTGCTCCAAAAAAAAAATCTTTTCTTTTTCGCTTATTTCTATCGTGTGCTTTCTCATATCTTCAGAAGGCAACGACCTCCAATTTGACCTCGGAGAGCAAGCTGCCAACCTCAGCCCTTGGAGCTCCCAGTATCTCTCAGTGACAGTTCTCTTGTTTTCTCGTCAGGCTCCCCCCACTCCCCCCCCCCCCAACCCCCCCATCCCCACACCCTCCCCGATCCCTGGAGGCCGAGGAGCAGAGATCTACGTTTGCAATTTACACCGACTAAATGATTTATCAAACCTAAAGAGCTTCTCTCTTGGCTGCACAGACACAAGCGAGGCTGAGGGATGAGATGGCAACCTGAGTCACTTGCCACAGCCTCAACTCCCTAGCTCGCTCCAATCAATGCTCTCTCTCCAGCTCCTGCTGCTGGCATCGGATTTCCAGCTGTAAAACTAGTCCACAGACTCGGGAAATCTATCCCCACAGCTCCTTGGCACAGTGCCTTAACGCCAGGAACCTAACACCGCGAGCTGCCCGTAGACTGGAGAGCCAGCTCGCTTCTCCCTGCTAACTCGGCCTTTCGTTCACAAAGTAGAAAGTACACATCAAAAAAAAAACAGAAGCCTATCTCGCTCGTTTTTTTTTTTCTTCAGCGGCTTGATTTTGCCCAGATGTGGGAAGGGAAGGGGGTGGGGGGGTTGGGGGGGGAAATGTGATTCGCAGGAAAGTTTGTGGATCGTTAGAAAACAGGTAAAACAACAGCGGCAATGTCTGGCAGTTACGATAGTGACCCTCCGTGTGAGGTGACGTCTCGAAACGATTTGCAAGGACGGTGCCCGGACAATGAGCAACAACAACAACAGCAACAACTCGCATTTACCCAGCGGACTGACTGCGTATTGTGTAGGCTAATGCAGCAGCCAATTCTGCACAGCAATGTCCCACAAACAAACCACGACACGGTCGAAGAGGAAGGTCTTCAGTCGTGATCTAAAAGAGGGCAAGGCTTGAGAGAGAGAGAGAGAGAGAGTGTGCCCAAGTTCTGGGGCACAGTGGCTGGCACCGATGGACACAGAAGTTTTTATTTGGGGACGTACTCCGTTTTTGAGGAGAAATGATTCCGCGTAATCGATGGGAGCGGGGAGGGTGGGGGAAGAAGGGGTGTGACTGTGAGCAGTCAAAGAGCTGTGACCCGGTTTACACGTGTGAGTGTACTATCCACAGCGAGTGTGTGTACACAGCGAGTCTGTGTACACACACAGCGAGTGTATTAGAGACAGTGAGTGCATGTCCGCAGCGAGCTGTGTTGTAGACAGTGAGTGTGCAGATATGCACAGCGCTCCTGCTCTTGGATTCACGGCCTAGGACCTGGAAAGCTGTGAGCCGAGCTGAACAGAATGGCACAACGAGCGGGCGAGGAGGTCTCTCAGTACTCACGTGTTGTGAAGCACACACCAGCCGCAGTGAGGGTCTCCCGAGCCCAGGCAGTCAGTGCACGTCTTGTACTGTCCGCATGTCTCCACCGGCACTCTGGTCAACTGAAAGCAAATAGAGAAAAAATCAGGTGGTAGGAGTCTAACAAAGATCACCCCCGTCCAACATTGATCACGCTCGTTTACCCACAACAACTTGGGTTTATATAGCACCCTTCACGTGGGGTAGTGCGACCCAGAGCTCTTACCATAAAACCTCTTTTAAAGTAACAATAATACAATAATAATCCTTGCATTTGATGCAGTGCCTTATCACGTCTTCGAGACGTCTCAAAGCGCTTCACAGAACATACCGTCAAGGTGAATTGACTGGTGTGTTTTGTGGGCGAAAGGCAGCAGCCATTCACGCACAGCAGCGTCCCGCAAAGAGTCGTAGGTTGAGCGACCAAATTAATATTATCTTTTATCGAAAATTTGTTTGGAAGGGATACTTATCCCCCGGAAACGCGATCCGCCAATCGGCTAACAACCGGGTTCCCACTTGCTGCTCGGTAAACAGAGGCGTGTGGAGTAAGGAAAGTCGCCTAAGGTTTCGCCCTGGCCCCCCCCGGAATCAAACCCTCTCGCTTGCGAGGTGAGCGCTCTAACCAATACGCTGCAGGACTCCACAAAATAAGTGATTGTGAACAGAAATGAGCAGTCTCTTGGCTCGGGGTTGGAGAGGGTCAAACACACGGTGTCAGGGCGGGCGAGACAGAGAGTACCAGAGATATGATTGGGGTTGATTCTCACTGAATTCCACTTGAGCCGATATCGTTACGATTGCTGAGTACGGGAGGCTGAGTGGTGTGGCAAGTGACATGACATTAGCCTGGTGTAATTATGGTCTAGCCAGTCTCCTGCCTGCCTGCCTGCCTGCCTGATGGACCACTGACCTTTTCACTAACTTCAGGTGCTGAAGGACTTTGGCACTTTACAGGGCCCGACCGACCGAAAGATCTAAATTTCACTTTCTCGGGAAACGAGGGCATTAATTAGCTTCTCAACTGTGCAAAGTGGCTCGGGATTGAAGGCAAAGGACAGTGTGACAGGCAAGGCCATGCTCGCCTCGCGCGGTGAAAGGCATTCTTAAGAGTGTTATCACTCCAGATGCATTGTCCTAACCCTTTTCCCACCCACTCCGATCGACTCAGTGATATTGTCAAAAACAATTCAGCCTCTCGATGTCCTTCACTTCACAGCCTGTCCTCTGATCACCTCACTGTCATTCACTGTAAAGATAATCCAAATGATGCGTTGTAATTGTCATATCACATACCCCATTCGCCCCCCACCCCCTCCACCCCACCACACCGCCCCCATATTGGGCAGTGGACAACAGTGTGGCACTGCTGCGGGCATCAAGGACAAATGCCAGGATAAATCCTCCTCAGCTCAGCTCAGCTTCCAACCTGAGTTACGTTAGACCTTTACAGCACAGAAGACAATCGTTCAGTCCTTCGTATATCTGTGCTGGCTCTTTGAAAAGAGCAATCAATTCAGTCCCATTTACCAGCCATGTTCAGGTACACAGTATGCAGCAATTTACGGCAAATCAATCCTGTGACATGCTTTGAGATGTCCTCCCGACATAAAAAAGGAGCTCTACCAAATATAAGGCTTCTTCTCCTTATTCTTCTCCTTATTCTTCTCCTTATTTACTCCATACGTCTGCAAATCTGGATAACGAAAGTAAATCCTGTGAAATGCTTTGTGATGTGCTACTGACGTGAAAAGCGCTGTATCGAATGTGAGGATTATTACTGCTAATACTTTGTTAATAACCAGCATTACATGCTTCAGCTGAGAGTTTATTTGCTAAATCAGTTAGCGATTAGTGTATGTTTGTGTGTGGGAGGGAGGGAGGGAGGGAGAGGGTAATTCCAAACAACATCATTTGTTGACACAATGTCAATATCAGTGAATATGTATTATTATTAATAATAATGATCATTCTGAAAAAGTACTGGTTATTTTTTGTAAGTGGATTGACTGTGCAATTTGTGGGCGAAACACGGCAGCCAATTGTGCACAGCAGTGTCCCACAAACAGTCGTAGATTGAGTGACCAAATTGATTTATTCGAGGGGGGGTGGGTTCAGGGGGGGAAGAGGGATGGATTATTACGCCTGGAAAACGATCTGACAATTTTGTGCTTTGTTGGAGATGTTTGGTGTGTTTGTGTGTGCAATTTTGTTGTTGTTGTTGCTGTTGTGTGTATGTGTGTGTGTGGTGGGGGGGAGGCTCAGATTATTCCCTAAATACTGCAAAACTGCAAAGTGCCACTGGTGTGAAATGACACTATTTGCGCTGATTCCGAAGCCCGAAGGCGGTTAATAGTGCGATCAGAAAGCTCAAGAGACACACAGAGAGAGAGAGAGAGAGAGAGAGAGAGTGAGAGTGGTGTGAAAGTTGCCTTCTATTTATAGTTAATTACATTGTGTGTATCAGCTCCAGTGCCTGAAAAGTGACAGCGTCTCTACAGTTGGGACCCTTAATCTCTGCTGGGTTATTGACAGCTGAGGTCACCTCGATGGCATGGATGCTCGACCTTTATAGGAAGCTGTCAAAGTGGAGGCATCACTGTCATTAACGCAGCCCGAACCTAAAAGTGCACTTGATGGAGCGAAATTGTCACCCTTTCCGGATTATCAGTGCAGACATCTAATTTTTGACCATGTCATATTTGTTTTCCCCAGCCGCGATCTCTTCGCTCTCAACCGCAACCCCACCCCACCTCACCCCCACCAAGGAAAGGTGTCTAATCCTCGCTGACTGAGTGTTGAATCTTGTCTGCTTCACCTCCTCCCCCGGATAATCGGATAATAACAATAATAATAAATAATAATAACCCTTGCGGTTGCCGGGAGGAACGTCACAATTCGCTTCGCAGTTCGTTCGGTCCGACTAGTCAATGCTGCTGTTTATACTCCACACTAGCCTCACCCCCCCATCCCACTCCACCCCCTTTCTATTCCCCTCTCCCTCATATTTGCGTCGTGTTTGATGGATTGCATATTTTGCAGCTAGTTCTCGACAACGACAACAAATTGCATTTAAATGACGCCTTTCACGTCGGGATGATGTCCCAAGGCGCAGAGACAGTGAAGAGTTTGCATCTGAGCTGAGGGTTGGGACTCAAGAGGAGTGGAGGAAGAGTGGGGAGGGTGGGAGTGAGAGGATGACTGAAGGCACGGTGGAAGAGGAAGGTCTCGAGACGAGCCTTGAAGGTGGCAAGGAGGAGGGGGCGAGGCGAATAGATTCCGGGTTGGAGCTCCAGAGGGCGTAGGCAGGAAGGATGAAGGTCCAACCATCGATGGTGGAGCGGGCAGGGCAGGGGGACATGGAATAGGCTCATGCCCACCGAGCAGAGGGAGTGGAAAAGGTTGGTCAGGTGTCAGTCGGTCGCAGAGGTAGGGAGGCGCGAGACCGTGGAGGGCTTTGAGGGTGAGAAGGAGAATCGTAAACTCCTTCCTCTGAGGGACATGGAGCCAGTAAAGCCAGGCGAGGATGGGGGTGATTGGCTCACGGAGCCTGGTGCGAGAGAGAGGACACGAGCTGCAGAGTTCTGAATCATCTGCAGTTTGTGGAGAGAAAAGTTGGGAAGTCCTGCAGGGTTCTAGAATAGTCCAGCCTGGATGTTTTCAAAGCATGAGACATCCCTTTGCTTTTAAGGCCTACAAACCCCACAGTCGCTGCCATTTACAGTGAATCTTGCGAAGCTGTTTGGAACGCCCTCCCGCCGCGAAAGGCGCCGCAGCAAAGGCGAAGATTATTATCGTCATTAATAATGAGCGGCGCGAGGCACCTCTCTTTTGCGGAGTGATTTACAGCGTGTCTTTAAGAGGAGCCCATTCTGAGGAGCCATTTGGAGCTCAGGACCATTACAAACCAAACAATGCGACTGAACAGCACGATAAGTGCACATTTCTACAGCTGAACCGGCAGCAAATGAAAGCTGCCAGAGCTGTCATGTCCGTGCACGTAAATCTCCTCCGTTTCGGTCACAAAACACACACTCCGGGTTAGCTCGCATTATTATCTCAAGTCGACTTGGCAGATTTATAAGGGACGGAATAAAATATCCCCCATGCCACGATGCACTTTATTTAGCGAAGTCCATTTCACACCGGTGAACTGTAAAATTATGACTGTAAATCATTCCTCTGCAGAGCGCAAAGTGACACCTCCCTTTCTAATAAACCACTTCCTACTGGTTTCTCATTTGTTTGATAGGCCTTGTTCGAGAGAGAGAGAGAGAGAGAGAGAAAGAACCCTGACATGATTTCAAGCCCAAATCCATTTCGAGTTTGAATGCCTTTCCTTTCAAATTTTTCCACCCCATTGAGCAAAACTCAAAGCCTGAGGACTTTCTGCCCTCTCTGTGCATGGCTTTACCGAGTGTCTACAACACTTTGAAGAGGACACAATGGCACGACATCAGCCACAAAACTGTCCTCACTTATCGGTGTCGAATTTAATATTTCGGAGTATGTTTTCGAATGTGCGGTGCAAGAAAGAAAACCTCAGCGAAACCTCAAAACTTCGACAGAATTTGTGTCGACGAGAAGATGGCGTTTGCGTAATCATGAATTATTTTTGTGATGAAACCTCCCCCTCGCGCCCCCCCACCGCCACCCCCCGACCCCCCACTAGCAGAAACGAATGATCCAGATTTATGAGCGCTTCCCTACACCGAGCTGTGCTGTTGGGCCATCTGGGAGTGCGAGCTCTGTCGCTGATTGATTAATAAGGCATCCTATGCTACTTGAGACACGTGCGCAGTGAAATCTAACATGAGTTTTCTGTTGGATTGTCGCTGAAACGCCCACATTTTATGCCAAAGTGCTGTCCACCAAATACACAGTCGATGCACTTGACAGTATATTCTGTGAAGCGCTTTTGAGATGTCTTGAAGACAGGTATATGATGGATAGCGGCTTGAAGGGGTATGCGGATAGGGCTGGACAGTGAGATTAAAAGCATTGCTCGCTCTCAGAGCCAGTGCAGACTCGATGAGATGAATGGCCTCCTTCTGTGCTGTAAATCTCTATGATTCTCTGCTGT